TCGGGTGTGGTCAGTTACCCACATTGGGGCTTAGTGTCCAGAGGAGAGTTGTCCCAGGTCCACCCCAAAGCTTCTGGAAGCAGAGTCGTCCTCCTGCAAATGTCCTTCTGGACCCACTCCCTGAAGGGCCCGTGGGACGCCTGAGGACACAAGTGGGAACGTGTGTCCTTGGCCTCAGGGGCCTGGATTTCCTACGATCCCCCAGAATGCCCCCCAGTGTTGGTCCTGCGGGTGCTGTCCATGTTCATGATGCCCACGGGGACTGGGACACATACTCTGTGAAGACATGAGCCTCAGCACCCTGCACACAGCAAGCACTCAATAAAGGTGCGCGGCCTGAAAGAAGCCGGGAGCACCTGCTCGGGGAATCATGGAGACTGGATGTCCCAGGCCCACAGGGTGTGTTCAGACCCACAGAGAGGATTGTTACAGCAGCAGAGTGTGACCTCTGCATTGGGATACTACATGTCAAGGTCCAAATTCAGCAACACCCCATACAGCTGTCAGTGGTCTGTTTTCCCCAGGTCAGGGTGGGGACCCTACTCTGTGGCTCAGACCCTGGGAAGCAGGTCCCCCGAGATCTGTCCACCCTGCAGAGTGGGGACTGGGACCTGCCTCCCCTCCTCACTTGATCCACATGCAAGGAGCCCAGGAAGAAAAAGGGGGAACGAGCTGTGGGATCCTTACTGTGCTGGTGTGGGCCGAGGCCAACTCTCATGGAGTCTAGAGAATCAGGGGCAGATTCTGACCCCAGGACAGCATCTCAGGGAGGGAGGAGTCCTTCCATCCCCGTGTCGGAAGGTCTTGTGGGTTTGGGCACAAATGACAGCATCCGGTGGCTCTGAGTGTCATGGAAAGGAGAACCCTAGGCCCAAGCCAGGACAGAGCTGCTGTCCTGAATGGTGACAGTGGCAAGGGCAGGGCTCTGCTCCCACACCAACCCCAGGTGGGATGCCTCCTCCCTGGTCCAGATGTTCTCAGGTTGCTGTGTCCAACGCCAGGGCAGTGGGGAGCCTTCGGGCTCTATGGACCCCCCACCACGCCTGCAAGCTGGGGACACATGTCCCTCAGTCATTCCATAGTTGCTCCAGTGCCTGCAAGACGTAGTACATTTTTTTTTAACATATAATGTATTATTTGCTTCAGGGGTATAGGTCTTGAATTATCTCTCTTACACAATTCACAGCACTCACCATAGCACATACCCTCCCCAATGTCCATCACCCAGCCACCCTCTCTCTCCCCCCTCCACTCCCCAGCAACCCTCAGTTTGTTTCCTGAGATTAAGAGTCCCTTATGGTTTGTCTCCCTTTCTGTTTTTGTCTTGTTTCATTTTTCTCTCCCTTCCCCTGTGATCCTCCGTCTTGTTTCTCAAATTCTTCATATCAGTGAGATCATATAATAATTGTATTTTTCTGATTGACTTATTTCATTTAGCATAATACCCTCTAGTTCCACCCATGTCATTAAATGGCAAGATTTCAGTGTTTTTGATGGCTACATAGTCTTCCATTGTATACATACACCACATCTTCTTTATCCATTCATCTGTTGATGGACATCTAGGTTCTTTCCGTAGTTTGGCTTTTGTGGACATTGCTGCTATAAACATTTGGGTGCACGTGCCCCTTCGGATCACTACATTTGTATCTTTAGGGTAAATACCATGTAGTGTGATTGCTAGGTCATAGGGTAGCTCTATTTTCATCTTTTTGAGGAACCTCCATACTGTTTTCCAGAGTGGTTGCACCAGCTTGCATTCCCACCAACAGTGCAGGAGGGTTCCCCTTTCTCTGAATGCTATTCAACATCAGTCATTTTGTGACGTGTTGATTTTAGCCATTCTGATTGGCGTGGGTGGTATCTCATTGTGGTTTTGATTTGGATTTCCCTGATGCCAAGTGATGTGGAAAATTCATGAGCATGGAATGTCTTTCCATTTCTTTCTGTCTTCCTCAATGTCTATCATGAGTGTTCCATAGTTTTCTGAGTACAGATTCTTTGCCTCTTTGGTTAGGTTTATTCCTAGGTTTCTTATGGTTTTCAATTGTAAATGGGACTGACTCCTTAATTTCTCTTTCTTCTGTCTTATTATTGGTGTATAGAAATGCAGCTGATTTCTGTGCCTTGAGTTTATATCCTGACACTTTACTGAATTCTTGTATGAGTTCTAGCAGTTTGGGGGTTTTCCACATAAAGTATCATTTCCACATAAAGTATCCTTTGGGTTTTCCACATAAAGTATCATATCATCTGCAAAGAGTGAGAGTTTGACTTCTTTGCTGATTCGGATTCCTTTTATTTCTTTTTGTTGTCTGATCGCTGACACTAGGACTTCTACTATGTTGAACGGCAGTGTTGATAGTGGATATCCCTGTCATGTTCCTGCCCTTAGGGGGAAGGCTCTCAGTTTTTTTCCATTGAGAATGGTATTCGCTGAGGGGTTTTCGTAGATGGTTTTGATGATACTGAGGTATGTACCCTCTACCCCTACACTGTGAAGAGTTTGATCAGGAACGGATGCTGTACTTTGTCAAGTGCTTTTTCGGCATCTACTGAGAGGATCTAGTAGTGAATTTCTTGTTCCTCACCCATCCCTTCCCATCTGATGACCACCCGAGATCACTGATTCCCTGGGGTTCATGGTATTGCTCTCTGGTGGGGGAAGAATCCAGTGTCCATTTTGGGGAGGACGTTCTGATTCACACTGATGTGTCCATACTGGGCTTCAGACTCTGCTGTGGAAATGCAGACAGCTGCCGGCTGAGAGAGGGAGTTTCTCCCTCAGGGGCTGCCTATCCCCAAGGTCACTCCTGCTTCTCTGAAAGAAAATGAGGGGAAAGGGGTATGGAGGTGCTTCTGGGAACCTGGAAAGGAAAGCAAGCCTGTTCCTGATGCATGACATCTCTCCCCCAAGGGCATTCTGGAGTCTCCTGGAGCACGGGTGAGCTCACCAACCCCACACAGGCCGAGGGACTCACCCAGCAACTCCTGCAGCAGCTCCCCGTCTCCAAAGTGCTGAGAGCTCGGGACTCAGGGCCGACCAGCCCTGTGCCAGGGACATGCAGGGAAGGCTTGCAAAAAAGAGAGTCAGCCTCGCCGTATCTGGTCAGAGAGTCTGCACCTCTCCGGGTAGCAGATGAGTCCCTGCATCTCCAGGAGGGTGTCCAGCTGGAAGCCCAAGGTCAGCACAGAAGCCACACTGACCAGCACGTGTCCTCCAGCTGAGGTCATCAGCTCTCTGTCAACCAGGGAGTTGTGTCCCGGCAGGATGGCAGTTTCCAGAAGAGCCCGAGTGTGGGAAAAGCAATCCCACCCTGAGCTGAACTGTAGGTCTGTCCTCTGTGTGACTCAGCCAGTGCAGGCGGTGGCTGTGGTTGGCAAAAGGCCCGCCGTGGACCTCAGAGCACGAAAGATGCAACCACAGGCTTATTTCCTCTCCCTGCGGGTGTGAGAAAGGAGGAGGCTGCTGGGGGCTCCATCCTGAGCTCCCTCCCAAGCTGGGGTTTGCACAAGCAAACAGTTCTAATCCTGACAGGGCTCACTCAAGGCTGTAATGACGGAGACAGGGGCACAGACTTGGTCCCCATCACCCTGAAGGGACCAGGGATGAGCTGCCCAGATCTGGTCTCCATCCGAGGATTTCTGCCTACAAGGGTCAGGGACGGCCTGTGGAAGGGATCTCCCATCACTGGGTGGGAGCGGGGGAACAAGGCAGTGCTGAGTGCTTTCTGGTCTGAAGGGCACAGAGCAGTTCTGGGGGAGCCCAGACTGGATGCGGTGATAGCTGGAGGCCACACACTCGGATGGGACAGCAGCAGTGACACGGGATTTCCCAGAGTTCCTTGTTGGGACTCCAGACCCTGACTCTTGCTCTGCTGGGTGACCTCTGGCAGGAGGACCACACCCTTAGGACTCGGATCTCACATCCATAAAATGGATTCAACAGCCAACAGGTTGACCACCTAGAGTGCGGGGCCCCGGGCCAGTCCTAGGGACCCACCCATAGGATCTGAGGGTCTGAGCAGCTGAGGAGGAGCCCAGTGGGCAGTGAAAGGGGTACCAGCCGGGGGTTAGTGTTGGAGCTGCTCCCCTAGGGTCCACAGGAGACCAGGGTTCTCAGAGTTTATAGGAACCCATACAAGAGGAGGCCAGACCTGACCCTCCATATTGCCATGGGTCTGGGCCGCTGAGCTTGCGGCCAGAGGTGCATGTCTCTCTCCAGTCCTGCCTGTGTGTGAGCCCAGCCCAAGCCTGGAAGAGCCTCAAAGGGAAGGGGGACTGTGGGGCTGCTCCTCTGGGGGTAGGATTTGTCCTGGGGGGTGGGCAGGGTCAGCCCTAGGCTGCAGATGGAGCCCTGGGGACCAGCAGTGGGGACATGCCATGTGTGCACGGGGGTGTGGGGTGACACTTCCCAGGAGCGCTTTGTTCTCGGGCTCCTAGCTTCTCACTGTGACACCTGACAGTGAGGTTCCTAGAAAATCATAAGGGAAATGTGACTCATGAAATAGTGTAAAAGACAGAGGACAGGCCCAAAGCAAGAGAGGCCCTGAGTCCTTGGTTCTAGGAGGGGACTCTGTGCCTGGCCATTGGCTGGCACTGGCGAGCAGGGTGGCCCAGGCTGAGTGGGAGCCCAGGGACAGAAGTCGGGGGTCCTAGGGGTACAGGCTGGGGCGGGGAGACCACCAGACTGGTTGTGAGCACAGGGGCGGGGCTTCTCCGGCACCGGGCCTCCTAGAGGGCGGCTCTTCCCACATTATTCTACAGTTATCTCCTGAGGCCCCCCTACGGGTGCTGAGCTAACATGAGAGATGGGAGTGGGTTACTCTAGGCTGGACAGTGAGGTCCCAGAACTGACAGTTAGCCCCGCCCCTGGGGTGCGGAGAAGCCTTAGGGCTCTTGTGAGTGAAGAAGCTTTCCTCCTCCTCTTAGGTCTGTATTCTGGATGTTTCCTTGAAGCAGAATCGGTCCACGCTGAGCCAGCAGGGAGGCAGCCAGCCATGCGCACCTGCTCAGAAGACCCCCACCTGTGCGGGGCCTCCTGGCTCCTGCGATTCACCAGCCTCCTCCTCAGTGAGTGGCCCTGGCCCCCTGGGAGGGAGGCCGCCGGGTGGGCAGGGAGGCAGGAGCTCCCGGGCTGGCTGAGGTCTGTGCTGAAGAACCAGACGGAGCAGCCCCGTGATGACGGAGCACACGCGGTGCGCTGGGATAGAGCCCCGGGGTGGACAGAGGGAACAAAGAGAGCTTTGGGCTGAGGCCAGGCTGGGAACCCCGACCCGGCTGCCTAGAAGCATGAAGGAAATCCCCCTCCCCGCCAAAAGGGGGTGAGGCAGGGAGAGCCTGGAGCCTCGTGGGAGAGGGATAGAGGAGACACAGGAGTGGCTGCGGGGACCCGGGGTGGGGACGGACATCCCCCCTGCTGTGCACAGGGACCCGCAGCCTCTGCAGGTGCCGTGTGCAGGAGGGGCCGACCCAGAGCCCCCGTCTGAGCTGGAGGGGCCGCGCTAGTCTGGCTCCTTGGGCAAGATGAGGCTCCGAATCCAGTGACATTCTGTTTGCAAAGAAAGGAAAGGAGCCCCCAGAATTCAAGGGTCTGCGCTATGTGCTGTGTGTAAGGCTGAGCTGGGAACAGGAGACTGCTGACCTGGGCTCTGAGTCGGGGTGTCCTGGGGGTCAGGTTGGAAGCAGAGGCGGTCCCAAAAGGGAACTGAATGACTGTTTTAAGGAGAGTCCGATTTTGCAGTTCTTACTTCCTCAGAGACCATCTGCTTCTGTGTAGTAAATTAAGTAAGAACCAAGGAGAAAATACTAAGTTCTTGATGTTCTGAATTCTGCAGACCCCATGGAAAGCTGTTATTGTCTGTAATGTTTGCTGTGAACATACCAGCCCCTCTGTGCCTGCAGGATTCTAGGGAATTTCTGGGATCCCAGGATGTTTGCAAACACGGAGATAAATCTTTAGAAAATGAGTTTTGCAAGGCTTGGAGACCATGTTAACAGGGTAACTTTCTACCAACAATTGTGGGCTTTCCACTCTTTTCAATGTTATTTAAATGGAGACATACGGTAAATTACATAGTTTCCTCCATAAATGTCTAGGTTGGAAGATTATGTAAGAGAGAGAGGAACTAAGAGAGGGCTGGAGGGAAGAAAGAGAGAGAAATGGACAAAATGCTATGTTGATGGTTGAAAGTCACATTTCATCTAATTTAAATAAACTTGGGCTCTCTTGCTCGCGGCACCCGCCCCTGACCTTCTGTCCCTCTTTGGCGTCAGCACCTTCTGCAGATCTGAGCACTGTCGTGTCTTCCTCCCGTCCTGAGTGGGCTTCCAGCTTTGGGGCCGCTCCTCCCTGCAGCCTGAGGGCTGAGCCTCCTCTGTCCCGGGTTCCCCCCTTTCCAGCAGGGGCCGGTTAACCCTCAGGTAGCCCCGCGTCCCTGCCCTGCCAAAGCCCGCTGAGTACTTAAGTCCCCTCTCCTGGAACAATAGCTGGAGGTGAGACCCCAGATCTGCTTAGACCCCACTGACCAGACAGCAGTGCTAGGAGGAGGGATCCCTGGGCAGGGTAGGTGGCGGGCAGGAGGATGCTAGGGGGAGGGTGCATGGCAGGTTTCTATAGGGGAGCCACTGAGCTAGGGAACAGGGGAGCTAACTCTAGGTCTGGTTCTGCCCTGGGTGACTCAGGACAAGTTCTCCCCAAGGAAACCCCTCCTTTATGAAAGGTCCCCTCAAAGCCCCTCCAGCTGTGACATCCTGGGACTGGGGTCTCCCCCTGGATGGGACTGACCTGTAGCTTTTCTGAGGCCTTTGCTCTATGTCTTCCTCCTCTCCTGTCCTCGTCCTGTGTCCTGTCAGGCACAGATAGTCAGGGAGCCTGCTTGACCGCTTCAGAACCCAGAGCCCAAGACCACCTGTGGTCACCTCCTCCGGCCTCCAAGGAGGGGGGAGGATGCATCTTGAGGCTCCCTGCAGTCTTTGGGCCCTCTGCTGTCTCTGTCTCTGGTCCTGACTGGGGTCTGCCGAGCTTCAGCCCCGGTGTGTGGACCGCAGTGTGTGGACCCGAGTGTGCACGGCCTGCTCAGGACAGCGAGCTGCCGCAGGATGGGGGAGAGGCCCCGAGTAGCTGCTCAGGAACAGCCTGGCCCAAGCCACGCAGGTGCTGCCCATGGTCGGCAGAAACACCAGTGTCCATGTCCCTGTCCCCTAGGATAGACCCCTCTGACCCATATGGGGGCACTGAGAGCAACAATGTGGGCTCAGAATTCCTGGAGAGAAGCCCGAGGGCAGGTGTCACCCTGGGGACGGATCTACTGTGCCTCAGGGATCCCCAGGCACCAACCTCCTGTTGGAACAAGGGCGGCTTCTCTGACTCAGTGTTGGTGTCCTGTGTGCACCACACTCTGCGTATTTGCACACGAGATGGGCCGTGGCCGTGGACTGGGTGGGGACGCGGGTGTGACGGGACACCGTCATTCTGTGCATTAATTCATGAGGAGCCGCCAGGCTCATTCACAGGAGAAATGTTCCTTAAATATAATGTGACATAATTTTCTCATCAGTCTGGCGAAGGGTAGAAAGTCTGATCACCGTGTGCTGGTGGGAACCTCAGCATTATTGGGGGGAGAGCCGCTGGGGTCGCTCTCAGGAGGACGATGAGCAGGGTCTGTCAGAGGCTGAGATGGAGCTGCCTTTGGTCTAAGACCCACTAGTGGGTTATCCCAGTGTCTGCACACCCACGGGTACTCTACACCACCAAGTGTGATGTACGCACACCCACGTGTGGTGCATATGCAGCTGCCTGTGGTGTGTACACTCATGTGTGGTGGATACACAGTCACGTGCGACCTATATACACACAAGTGTGGCATGTATAGCCCAGCGTGTGCTGTAGACACACCTGTGTGTGATGCACGCACACCTGAGAGCGATGTGTGTGCCCCCGCGTGTGAGGTGCCTGTGCCCACATGTTGTGTGCTCCATAGCGTGTTGTACATACACCTGTGCATGACACGTGTGCCCCGTGTGTGACATATATGTCCCCATGTATAACGTGTGCTCTGTGGGTTACATGTATGCCCATGTGTGTGATGTGCATGCTTGATGTGTGACACGTGTGCCCCGTGTGTAGCATGTGTGCTCCCATGTGTGGCTTATATGTCCCCGTGTATAACACGTATGCCCCGTATATGATGCACATGTACCTGTGTGACTTCTGTGCATGGAACAGGACAGATATGCCCCTGCGTGTGACTCCGTACCTCCCTGTGTGCAGAGCCTCCAATCCCAGGCTGCTCATGGGACCTGTTGGCAGGAACCAGAGCCACCTGACTGCCTGTCACACGTGGAGGGAACTAGAGCCCCACGTGCGGCCGGACAGCTGTTCATGAGACTTCCCCGTGTGCAGACGCAGGCTAGAGGCTAGGCTAGAATCCCTTCTGGTCCCGAGCCAAGCAGAGAAGTGGGGGGAGCAGAGCAGCGCAGGTGGTGTGGGATCGTGCAGGTGGAGACACACGGGGAGACAGGGGTCAGTGCAGAGACCCCCGAAGGAGGGACACACGGGAACATGGAACAGCAGCAGCCTGTGGGAAGGGCAACACTGCAGTAGGGCTCAGAGGTCTGGGAGAGGCTGCATTTCCATGTCTAGCGCCCTCCTTTACTGCAATGTGGAATCTGCTTAATATTTAAGACAAAAGCTGCTGAGTGTGGCTGAAATGCAAACTTTCACCCTTGGAAAGGGGACGACACTCCGCACCCGCCTGCGTCAGGGGGTGTCCTGGGATCCTGAGATGCCCAGAATCTGACGAAGCAGTAAATGTAGGGAAAGGGCCTCACATTCATGGGGAGCCTGTGGTCTCTGGTGAGCAAACGGCAGGTGGCCCAGGTACCTATAAACTCCCCACAGCCTAACGCACTGATGAGACGACAAGGAAGCAGTCACTGTGGGGACTTTCTCATGATCATTACATTTAATCCTTGCAGGAGCCCCGTGGACACGCTCACATCTCATCCTGGTGGTTCCCATGTGGGAGCTCCAGGCTTAGACAGTTTAGGAAATAGCCCAGGGCCGCTCACCCAGTAAAGCGAAGATCTAGAATGTGACCCCAGGTATGTCTCATTCCAAAGCTCACACCCTGTGACCTGCTGGCCAGGAGCCCAGGCAAGACCTCAGGAGCCCTCACCGGGTCCACGTGGGGTGGGGGCGGCAATTCCTGGGCTCCCGCCTCAGTTTCCTGGGCTGCCGAAAAAGACAGCGTAAAACCCTTAAACAACACAATCTTTTTGTCTCCTGGTTCTGGAGGCTGAGAGCCCAAAATCAAGGTTTTGGCCAATTCGCTTTGTGAAGAGAGGGAGGGAGCACTGTGCTGTGGGGACGCACGGCACTTGTGTCCCGACGTGCTAGAGGGACTGGAGGGGTGCAGTGTGGCTGTGCCCGACTCAGTGGAGCCTGTGGGAGCCATGTCAGGACCTCACCCCTCCCTGGCTGTTGGCCAGAGGCTGCCCTCCGTCCCTCCCCATGGGGGTCTCTCCACGAGGCTGCCCACCACACAGCAGCGGGCTTCGTCAGAGTGAGCAGGACACAGGGTGAAAACAAGATGGGGTCACACTCCTGTCGGACCTGCTGTCCCTGAGAGCTGCCCATCACATTAGCGGCACTCTGCTCCTTAGAGGGGAGCCCTGGGGGGCAAACCTCCTCCAGGGGAAGGGCTTATAGGGCCCATGGGCATGAGGGGTCTCTGCAGCCCCATGAGAACTTGCCTATTGCAGAAATGCACTCGGTGTGGCCCCAAAATGTACTCTTGCCTTGGGTCTGAGACCTCCTGACATTCGTCCCCTCGCTGTCAGGGGTCAGGACACTGCAGGTGAGCGAGTTCCCGTGACCTGTTCAAGGGGACGCTCCCCTGGGACCAGGAGGGATTCCAACATTGCCCTAAATTCGTGACACTCTCTTGCCTTCCCAGTCAAGGGGGCACATGGGATGGATTTCATGAAGCAGGATTCTAGGGTTTTCTCCTTTATTCCTAATGAAAACCGCCCATGTTTTCTGTGTCCTATGCCCTAGGTGTCTGCAGCGCTGTGACCCAGAGTCCTGGAGCCCGTGGGTCTGCCCTGGACGATTCTGGAAACTCCCTTCCTCTGAAGGGGACTCTGGGAGCTTCTGTGTTGTTTCACATGATCAAAAATCCAGAATTACCTCCAGGATCCAAGCTGGAGAGTATTACTTGGGGCATTATAAATCAAAAAATCTACACACCCGTACTCCAGGTTAGTCCCGGGGGAGATGTTACACGATGGGTCAACTTCCAGGACAAGTTCGAGAAGAGGGTCCATGTGCTCAACACAACGACCCTGAGGTTTGACAACCTGACCCTTGAGGACAGTGGGCTGTACCGGGCTCAAGAGTCCTATACGGGAGGAAGACAATATGACCAGGATTTCCACCTAATGGTCTACGGTACGTGGCGGCCCCTCCCCCAGTCCCACAGCTGATGCCCTTCCTCTGTCCCTCACAGTAACCGTGCACCACGCTTGCAGGATTCCTTCCAGACCGCAGCCTTCAGACTCGATCTTCCTTCCAGAAAATAGATGCTGTGAGGTCACCGCAAATGCAGGCAGAGCTGAGACTCACACCAGGGATGAATCATGTCTGTGCTTCAGGAGGGAACATAGAATGGGGGGAAATGGGGATTTTGCCATAACACTCATTGTCCCCATAGGACTCCGGGTCCTTATGGTCTTATGGTCTTATGGTCTTATTATCTAGTGTTGCTGTAACAGGTGACAGTACCTGAGTGGCTGACCACACCATCACCCCGGGAGTCCTCCTGGGCTGTAGGGCAGGAGTCAGACCCCAGAGCCTCTGCCATGAGGTCCAGGTGTCGGCAGGGCTGTGCTCCTCTCTCTGGAGGCTCTGGGGAGAATCCACTTCTGTTCCTGTCCCCCCTTCTAGGGGCACCGACATCCCCTGGCTTCTGGCCCCTTCTTCCCCCTTCACAGGTGGCACTGGTGGGATGAGTCCCTCTGACACTGCGTCCCTCCCACCTCCTCTCCTGCCTCCTCCCACTTGTGAGGACCTTGTGATCACATGGGGCTTGTCTGGGGAATCCAGACCATCTCTAGTCCAGGGTCCGCTGGTTCTCAGCCTCAGTTCCCATTTGCCCTGGAACCTAAGACACCTGCGGGCTCTGAGGGTCAGCACGTGGCCATGGTTGGGGGACACTTGTCACCTAGCAGGATCCGGAATCCCACATGTGGTTCTCCCCACCATAGCCCCCCGTCCTTCTCAGCCCCAGCCAGAGTCAGCTCATTCACAGACTCCACGGTCCAGCTCTGAACCTTGACAGATGGAGGGGAAGTTCACAGGGTAACCCCTCCTCAGACTCTCAGTGAGCAGCTGTCTCTCCCTGCACCCCTCCACCTGCCCGCATGCAAGGAGACGTCCTGCCCCAGAGAGAGAGTGGCCTTTGCAGCCTCACGACCAGAGATTTCCAACTATCAGTCTGTCCCTTGTCTTCCCGTGGTGACCCCAAGCTCAGGGTATAATCCAACCACAACTCAGGGAGGCCATTCCTAGTGACTTCCACTGCGGTCAGTCCCAGGGGAGCCTGGGGCTGCTCTCTGGGCTCCCAGAGCTGGCCACTGGCCATCTGCACCACGGGCTATGCCGTCCCATGAACCATCCAAGCAGGAACAGTAGGGCTGGGTCTTGGAACTGGAAAATCCTCTGTCCCTGATTTCTTCTTCTAAGGGACACCCCATCATCCTCAAATTATGGGGTTTGGGTAGGTGGGGTCCACATAATATCTCAGAGGACATTTGTAAGACGTGTTCAGTCGAGTGAAATCACATAGAGCTAAACTCAGTGGCTCTTTCCATTCTAGCACCTGCTGTATATTTGGGTCACTTCTCTGTGATCTGTAAAATGCAATCCCTGTCCTTAGTGGGAGGAAGCCAGAGCGCCAGGGAGAATCCACAGGAGAAAGCAGGAGCTGTGATGTTCTACACTCACCTGAGACTGTTCTCTTGTCCCTCCCGCCCCAGAGCCTGTGCCCCTTCCCCAGATCCAGGCCACGGTTCTGTCCCTCACACCAGGCTGGTGCAATATCACCATGGAGTGTAACACCACGGAAACCAGGGAGGACCTGACTGTGTCCTGGGAGAGCGAGTGTCTCCCCAGGGAGCTGGAGCAGAGACCGGCCCCAGGACCATCCCCCAACCCCTGGACACTGGCTGAGAACCTGCCCCTGAGCCGGCCCAGCCCCAGCCTCACCTGTGTGGTCAGCAACGAAGGGGACCGGAAAACTGTCACCCTGGACCTTGGGGACATCTGTGGCCATAGTAAGTGCACCTGCCAGTGGAGTGGGACTCAGTAAGTGCACCTGCCAGTGAAGCAGGGCTCTCCCACAGCTCAGAGAGCCCTGGGCGAGGGATCTCGGCTTCTGTCCCCATGTTTATGTCGCCCGCTGCCCCCTGGTTGCCCTGTCCAGGACTCTGGCAGGAACATCCATCCTGTGTCTGCCCTTTGATGTCGCTCCCGTGCTGCTCTCCAGCCCTTACCCCTGCTGGTCCAGGCAGCATCTGGCAGGTACCTCTCCACTCCCTCATCCACCCTTCCTTGTGTGTCCTGGGACGTTTTCAGGAAAAGCGAGTTGGGGGGTGTCCGGGGTCTGTTCCACCCACCTGCTCGCCTGCGTTCCCCATGCATCCCGCTCTCCTCCGCTGCCAGCCTCCGCTCAGGCCCCTCCCTCTGCCCTCAGCCCTTCCAAGTAAGGAGTCCCCACTCCCCACTGATTCCCATCCATGGATCCCCTCCCTGCAGCTGGCGCTGGGGGCCTGTGACCCGGGCAGTCCCACAGGGCCGCGTGCGGGGGACAGTCCCAGCATGAAGACAGTTTGCACAGGGGCTCCTCAGCCTCAATGGCCCAGGGCCCTGCAGGAGCTGCTGCTGTCCTGCCCTCACACCTCGTCTCCTCTAAGGAGTGGTCAGTGGCCCCACACTGGTGCTCTGGCCCAGGATTAGTGTCCTGTGCAGGCTGAACCCCTGGAGGGCAGGGGCCATGTCTGCTGCTCTTTGAATGCCTGTCCCAGCCTACACCTCAGATCCGTTGCTCACAGTCAGTGTGTCCCTGAGTGAATGAATGACTTAAATCCCCCTGTGCCCCCTCACTCCTCCACCCTGACCCCCTCCCGCTGCTGGGGGACCTGCTGTCTCAGGATCCCTGATACAAGAGGAAGCTCATAGCTCAGGGACACACGGGACCCACTGGAAACAGGTTCCTGCCTCCCTGTCATCTTCCCACCCAGCTCCACCAGCCTGGTCCCTCTCTGGCTTGCCCCAGTGGGGTGCCAGCAGCTCCAAGGACTGGAGAGTTGTCACAGCCATTCCTGGTCAAGGCTCTCCTTCCTGGGATGCCTCACCCACCCTGAATATCGGGCAATCTCCTACTCCTCCCTCAAGACTAGGTTTTCCCATCACCTCCTCCAGGAGGCCCTCCTTGATGACCTCGGGACAAGCTGTAGCTCTAGGGTCCTGGGATGGCTCTGGCTGGCTGCCTCTGGCATGTGTCAGCCCTCCCCCTGCTGAGGGGCTCCTGAAGGGCAGGCACCAAGTCAAGCTCCTCTCAGCGCCCCGACCCCAAGCAGGAGCTCCGGAACTGTCTGAGTGAGAGCCCCTGCCATGCTCCTCCCTCTCGAGCTCCTGACCAGGTCCCTTCAGAGTCTCCATGTGTCTGGCAATGGGCATCCTCAGTTCCCTGTTGCCTTAACCTTCCTCACACTTTGTGCGACAGAAACAGAACCACAAGGACAGACCAGTGCTGCCCACTTGCCCAGTATCCTGGTGCCTGTTGTGGTCATGCTGCTGATCCTCGGAGCTGGACTGTACCTTTGGAAGAGACGTGGGAAAAAGAACGTGGAGCCTGGGAGAGGCAGGTTGCACTTCTCCTTCCCATGTCCAGACACCTCCCTCCCTCACTGGACCTTGGGTTCCTTTTCTCTTGCATTGTGCTGCTCAGGGAATGTCCCTGCAGGAGGCGGGCAGGTGTGGTCATGGCCATGGGGTCATGGAAGGGGAGGTGACAGGTTCCAGGCTGAGACTCAAGCTCCATCTGTATGTGACTCAGGGATAGGATCTCAGGAGGAGCCCAGGGACCCGGATGGTGGCATCCACTATGCAGAGCTGAGCCACCAGGGGTCCAGAGACCACAGGGACAAGGTGAGCCTGGGAGAGGAGGCAGTCTGGGTTGTCCCAAGTCCCTCTGTGCCTGGGTGTGTGCCTGTTGATCCCAGTCACGTGCAAGCTTTTGTCTGCATGTATCCATAACCCTTTACAGATAACAAGGTATTAACTAAGAAAATTCTCCTGGGGTCCATGCAGGGCAGATTGCTGGGGGAGGTTATGTCAGTAGCCCTGTGTCTGTGTGGGTCCCTCTGGGGCATCAGCAGCCCTCAGGTGTCCCTGGAACCCTCTGTCTGCATTGCAGGGTAGGGGAGAACCACATCTAGAAGAGGAGAACTCTCTCTCTACTGTCTACAGTGAGGTCCACAGGCCAGGCCAGGCCATGACCGCGTTTTAATGGGAAGAAGTAGGAGAATCCCGCCCTGGGGATACCTGTCTCGTGAGCATGATGCTTGCAGCTCTGGTCCTGCCTCTTCCACCTCTGACAGCTCTGAGCAGGACTGGATGGGTCCAGCAGTACTTTCTGTGCTAATTCGTCGTGCACAAGCTCCCCGTGAGACACACACAGTGGTAGCTCAGGGAAAACTGAGTAAATAAATTGGTCCCAACCTGTTCCAGGAACGCTCAGCCTCTTCTAAGTGGCAACCCAGGATGGTCCCCACCTTCCCCCTCATCTGTACGACATCAAACAGCTTTCAGACCCTCAGCCTCTGGGACAAGCCGTGGAGAATCACAACATCCCCCCGGGCCCGTCGTGAGCCCCCCCAGCCGTCAGTCCCGCGCTGAGAGCTCTTCACAGACAACGTGAATTCGTCATCGTCCCTGCTTGCTGAGGGCGGGCTCTGCGACCCGCACTGTTCAGACATTCTGCTCGCTGCTGACTCCCTGGGTCCTGGTGGACTCTCTGTGCGGGGGGAGCCTTGTGCCCACTTTACAGATCAGTAGAAGGAGCCAGAAAGGCTGACTCTGCAGGCCGCACGGCTGGGAGCGCCGGAGTCAGGACTCAGCCCAGGGAAGGGAGCTCCAGGCCCGTCTCTCCAGGCCTCGGCTGGCTGTCCCACGTCCTGGCCAACCTCCTTCTGTCCTGTCCTGCTGGTCAATGGTCCAGTCTCCTACTGCTCAGCACAGGCAGAAGTTTCTAGTTCCTGACAGTGAGCTTTAACTGACTACACAGAGTGACACCCACGTCCCCCTCTCTGCCGTCCCCACGCAGGACGCGGAGCTCCTCGGGGCTCAGTGAGGACTTTCCCCTGCATTTCGGGGCCCTTCTCTGGGGACGTGTCGTCTCCTGCGTGCCTGTCTCTGGCTCGTCCCTCTGACCCTGCCGGCTCCTCCCCTGCAGCCCTCACCCACTCCCCATGCTGCCCCTGCTCCACACCTGAGCCCGCACCTTGGCCTCACCTCACAGGGACCCTTAGAACACCAGGAGGTGACCCCCCACGTGACACCGTTGATGTCCCTTTCCTGCTCCAACCCCCTCTCCTCACGTTCCCTGACAGCCTCTCCCTTGGACCCAGGCCCACCTGCCGCCCTCCCAGACTCTCCGCCGTCCCCCCAGGGCTGCTCTTCGCTCACAGGGCGGTGCTTCCCAGGGTTTGGGCAGGACCCTTCCCATCCCCCGTGTCCTTCTCTCTCTGGGGCCCCAGCTCCTGGGGTTCAGGGACCAGTCACACCGCTGATGCCCAGGGAACCCTCCCCACCCACGCCCTCTGCTGAGCCCCATCGCTGACCCCCAGCCCCACTGGCCACACCCCTGCCCCTGTGTCCTCCTCTGGCCTCTCTCCCAGGGTCACATTCCCCACTTCCCTTTCTGTAATACCGGGGACCGGGTGAGAAAGAGCACGAGCTCCTCTCCCGCAGGAAGGAAATCAGAAGTTGTGATCACGTGTGTAATCAGGCAATAAAAGTGCAGGAGTGGTGGGGGGGCGTGGGAGCTGTTCACCCAATCCCAGGGAAATACTGTAAGTTCTCCCCTTGGTAAGGGACATTTTCTCTCCTTCTATGCTCTACCACCATTCCCTCAGGTGACAAAGAAACCTGCTGTTGGCCTGAATTAGTAATTCAAACAAGACAAAGTATGTCTCAAATGCCCCTTCCTCTCCATCTCACAGCTGAGCCTGGAGATCCACTGGAAGCAGGTAGATCTCCTGAGATCAGAGGAAAGTAGAGAAGCTTCTCATCCCGAAAACCTCAGTGTCTGCACAGGAGCACACACACACACACACACACACACACACACACACACACCAGCCTCCAGCCGTGCAGCTGTCTGGTCAGAACTAGGGCTGTCCCACAAACACGCAGATCACAGTAGAAAGGAGGACTCGAAGTGTCAGAGAACATTGTCCCATCGGGGTAGCTGGCAGAGCAGGGCTGTGTCCCTGAATCGTGTGGTCCGTTTCTGAGCTCAGCTCTGGTCCCTTCGGGGTCCCTACAGCTCACTTGCTGGTGGACGGGGAGCAGGGAGAAACCACATCCTGTCCCGGGCCCTGGGAAGCAGGAACTCCAGCAGGTGGTGAGGTTGTCATTAGCCACACAGCGCACGGTGGGGGACAGACGATTGACATGATTCCTATTCTCAGTGCAGTCTGGACAGTGAGGGGGTGAGGACTGGAGGTGAGTGCACGAGGCCACGGTACCCCCCACAGAGCCACACGGGGCTCCCTGCCCCCTGCACCCCATCCCACCCTCTCACCATTCCATGGACCTGGACTGAATCCATGTTAGTCCTCCCCCCGACCCTGGCAGCGCCCCCTGGGCCCCTGAGCTTTAGGCATGAGGAGCCGTGTGCATGGACAGATGTGCACCTGCTGTGGCCCTTCAGGGGAACCTCTTGCTTCCCTGTCACCAGGTCCCTGCGGAGGAAGGAGGACAAGGAGCGGCTTTTCCTGTACCCCTTTCCAGCTGCCCCTGCTGGACTGAGGCTTCCTGGCACCTGGAGGCTCAGCCAGGTCTGGCTCTGCCCACAGCCTGCTTGGAGCTGGACCGGAGCAGTCTGTGACAACCAGCCCGGGAGGACACCACGGACATTCGGATCTAGACGATGGACAGAAAATTGTTTAAACCCAAGCTGATCCGTTCTGAATATTTAAATGACTTTTCCTTTTCCTTTTTAAATCCGAGCAAAGAGACTTGTAAAAACCATATCAGGTGTGCGTCCTGGTACATTGCTTGGGGGCTACACGTGGGACCGGGAGATGAAATAGCCGTGAGAAGCTATGGGTGCTGCTCTGGATGTCCGACAAGGAGAGTCCTTGTTTTCAGAGGCTCAGTGTGTCCCCTGGAGCCCAATTTGCATCTTGAACTCACGACCTGAGATCAGGACCTGACTGACATCAAGAGTCAGACGCTCAACCGACTGAGCCACCCAGGGGCCCGACTGTCTTTTTCTTGAGTCGTGGAGAATTACACTGATTCTGTGTGTTTCGGGTTGTTGGGGGCCTCACGCCCGGTGTGGGGCTTGAACTCATGACCGTGGGATTGAGACTCACATGGCCCGTGGACTGAGGCAGCCTGGCACCCCCGCTAGTTACTTCGGATTTTATCCAGATGTGGGGACTATCGTGAGATTCTGGGCTTTGTAAACACCATCTGGGGATGGAGCTGATTTGTCTCTGTGTCGGACGCCCCCCGTCTGACCAGTCCTGCCTCGCCCTCTGTGGGTGCTGGTACCCTGTCGGTGACTTCATAGCCTGCGTTACGGCGCTCGGGTCCACGGCACACGGGTGTCATTCAGCACATAGCCTGGGACTCGGGTGGTGGATTATGTCCCAGGTCAGGTGTCAACATCTCTGTGGCTGTTCCTCAGCTCTGTCCTCCGCGGTGCCGTTCGGAGGCGGACTTAGGACTTGTGATGGGGATCCTTTCCTTGCTCTTTCTTTTCTGAGATTTCCCCATATCTTTTGGCTACGTGGAGCCCTAGCTAGAAACCCAGGGCTCTCCGGATGTGATAGCTACACTTCTTCCCACCAACCCCTCCTCTCCCATCCTCCCCATGTGCTGGGATAGACTAGACCAGACTCCCGCAAGGTGAGAGGAGTGAGAGGAACCGGAAGACACGAGGATTCTTCTCACACTCTGTTGGCCACGGGGCTCCTTTCTTACTTCCCACTTCTCTCCGGGGCCGTAGACGCTCTGCAGTTGTGTCTCAGGCTTCGTGGGACGCTGAACTCGGAGGCTAGCCGCGGGGCCAGGCAGGCGGTAAGGAGGCCCTGGAATTGCTCCCCACACTCTCTGGCTCACCAGGACCTTTTCTTTTTTTTTTTTTTTTTTTTTGGTTCTTTCTGAGGTTGTGCTCTGTGTTCTGGCCACGTAGTTTGGGGACTTGGCCCATCAAGAGGTCAAACCAGAAAGAAAAAGAGGAAAGGAAAAGCCCCTGAAACTCACGTCCATCCTGGGTCTCACTGGTTCTGACTTCCTCCTTCCCCAATCCGAAGTCTGCGCACTTTTCAGAGTCCTCACGTACTTGCTTTTTTGTTTTGTCCAAGGTTTTTGTTGTAATCATTGGGAGAAGTGGGCTATAACAAGCGACTGTAGTTGACTTGCCCCAAACCTTAAATTTATATTCTGAGAATCACAAAATTCATTTGTTTCAGAAATCTGGAAAAAAACAGAAAAGCTTAGAGAAGTTTTTAGAGAAATTATCTATAGTTGCACTATCTAGTAATAAGCCATTTTCACTTTTTCCTCTAGTTTTTTTCTCTGCATATTTTAACAGGATGAACACCATAATGGAGATGATCTTTTCTTTTACCTGGTATTTCTGTTGAACTGAATCTGCATCAGAGTATGTTTACACTGAGCACCTTCATAAAACCTGCATGTCTCTCACGTGCACCCGTCACACACTTAATCATACCCTTGGTATCAGACATACAGTTTACATCACTGTGGCCATCTTTGTATACACCTTTTGTCTGACAACTTTTTCCAAACTCTTGATGTCACAATTCCTATCAGTGGAAATCAGTGCCTCCTTATCTGTCTGAAATAATATGTAATTAGTTTTGGAAGTGTGAACCAAGGTGCTTATATATAATTATCTTCTTAAAACTATTTCCAAAATGATACCATTTTTGATGGAGGACCTAGTGGGTTTGGTTGTGTTGAACATTAGAGTTCATACTCGGAAAACCTGATTGAAAAAAATGTTACAAGTTTTTAATCCTTGGAGGAATGAATGAGTAGGTTAGTAAATTTTGATTTTTATCTTTGAAGATAAAATGGAATGGTGATGAAAAATGATGTTAATATATGGCCAGCATGGTTTTGTATCTGTCTCAAGTGTGTGTTTATACAGAAATAAGGTCCGCATTAGAAATACAGAAATTAAATAGGAATGACTGAGAAAATAAATAAACAAACTTGTATTACATCCTGACTAGTGTCTGATGGGTGCCTTCCCTCCCTGTTGGCCTTATATCCTGCAGTCTTGGTGACCTCACTTATGAGTTCCAGGAATTTTCTATAAATTCCCCAGGATATTCTATGCAGACATACATATAAAGAGTGTCCATGATGATCTTTGAGTAGAACAGACTGCCCTCCACAGTGTGGGTGGGCCTCACTCCATCAGTTGAAGGCCTCAGCAAGAGCAAAGACTGACCTCCCGTGAGCAAAGAAGAATTCGACCGCACACGGCCATCGAAGTGGAACTGAGGTATTGGCTCATCCTTGTGTCTCCTCTTGACGACCTTGGACTTAAACCCCAGCATCAGATCTTCTCTGCCTCTCAGCCTGGCTCACCTACCCTATGACC